CGTTCGGGAAGGCCAGAAACGGCCTCTAGAGGGTCTCCGGAGCCTGGGGAGGCCCATTTTTGCCCTCCTAGAGGCTCGAGGAAAGCCTCTGGAGCCCGAGGAGGGCAAAAACGCCCCCCCACCATGGTGCAGGAGGCTGACTAGGCCACCCAGCAACTGGGCAGAGAACCCCTTGCTAAACTTTTTGAAGCCCACCCCTGGATGATAGCTAACTTGGAAGAGCAGATCAGGATGGGCCTTCAGGATGGTGTACATCAGAGCTCTCCAAATTTGGCAACTTGAAGACTTGTGGACTTCAGCTCCCAGAATTCCCTGGCAGCAATGCTGAAGCCCACAAGTTGCCAAGTTTGGAGACCCCTGGCCTAGACCCATCTCCTTGCCCCATCCCTTTAACAAGCCAGGAAAGACAGGGGGTCATGTCCACCAATGGCTGATCTTAGATCACAAAGGGTAACGATCAAACGGTCCATTAGATTGCAGCCCCCGGCTCTTAAGTGATTTTACAGGTTTTATTACTTGCCCGGCTCAAAATCCCCTGGGTGGATGGCAAACAGGTTAAAAATTGTAAAAGCATCTCTAGATATAAACCCACACACTTAAAAACCACGGTCAAAGTTGGCTAGATTTCCTCTTTAACTCCCATAATATATAGTTAGACTGCGCACGATGCGATTGGTGGTTGAGGGGTAACCAGATCACTCTCATTATGATTAGCTAAGTAGTAATTTATAAAGAAGGCACACAGAAAGCCTAAGCAGAGTCCTGCTGTGATCAGGGCCCAAAGCCACCGAACCAAATGTGTTTTTTTTCCTAATAGTACATTTAGAGGCCTTGGAGCATAAAGCGATGGAGCAGGCTATTTGCCAGCCCCCAGGAGACATTCAATTGCATACTTCATTTGGATCACTGACTTAGCAAAACTGGTGTAAACCTAGCAACCAAAAAAGGCTTCATACTGAATCGGAATTATTTCCCCTTTGGGTTTTGATTCTCCCAGGTCAGGGGTGTCAAACTCAACGTCAGGTTTCGATGCTATCTCAAAATAAATGAATTTCCAAACTGCCGATCTTTAAGGAAATTTTCTCTTTATTCGAGCACAGCAATCTGATCCTGACTCTTTTTTTTTTTTAATTTGATTTATATGCCGCCCTTCTCCGGAGACTCAGGGCGGCTTACAAGGCATTAAGCAATAGCTGTCATACTTTTGTATATTTTATACAAAGTCAGTTTATTGCCCCCACAAACTGGATCCTCATTTCACCTACCTTAGAAAGGATGGAAGGCTGAGTCAACCTTGAGCCTTGGAGAGATTCGAACCAGCAGAAATTGCAGGCAGCTGTGTTAATAACAGGGTGCACTAAACCACTGTACTATCAAGGCTCTATTATTTCGCGGTCAGTACTGACCTTTGCCCCCCAATCGCTCCCTTTCCGATCCCCAATTCTCTGCTTCTCATTGGCTATCTTCCAAGTCACTTTCCTGATTCCTTTCTTCGTCAGGTCACAGGAATGTCTTCCCCCTCTCCCATCTCCGAGGAGACAGAATCTTCAAAGGGATTTAGCAGGCAAAAGTTCAGGCTTCTCCTCCCTTTATTATATGTCAGTGCTGGGACGCTGACACTCAAGACCCGAGGGCTGGATTCGGCCCACAGGATGCTTAGATCTGGCCTGCAGGACCGTCCTGGAAACAATGCTTAACGCACTGTAAGCCGCCCTGAGTCTCCGGAGAAGGGCGGCATATAAATCAAATTAAAAATAAAAAATAAAAAATGAAGGACTGGCCCACAGTTCCTCTGCCAGCGAAAATGGAGTTCTGTTTTCGCTGGCAGAGGGTTGCAGGAGGCCATCACAGCCGAAAAGCTCAGGAGCCTATTTTTGCTGGCAGAGTGCTTGGGCCACCACAGGCACCCCAGACACGAGTGAGGCCACATCAACTATGCCCCCCCCGCCCCCAAGGTCAAACACAATGCTGATGCAGCCCTCAATGAAATCGAGTTTGGCACCCCTGTCCCATGTATTTAGCAGCCCTTGAAGAAGGTATTGTCTCTTGACTTATATTGCATGCAACCAGGGTCACCATAACACGGCTTATGAAGAACCGGGATTCTGGTTTTTTTTTTCAACTAGGGTCCTTCTCGTCCCCTGAAGTAAGACAGATTCTCGCTATGCACTCTTTTCAAGAGTCTGCAGTAGGATTTAATTTAGGGGGGGGGGGCTGGATGGTATTCATGGTTTTTGCAGGTTTTCAGATGTGGGGTCTGGGAGAGAGGCCTTCTGGTAATGACTGTTCGGTATTGTAACCTGCCTTGGATCTATGGAGTAGGTGAGTATGATATAGAAACCATGGTAGACAATACATAACAAATGGATACTCTGGCCACAGAGGTCCATCCTCAAACACCTTAAAGTGGAGGAAACGGATGGGGTTAGAATGAGAGATGCAAGTAAAAAATTAGGTACAGTATTTTGCAGCCATAGCAACTTTAAAATATGTGGACTTTAACTCCCAGAATTCATTCTGGGAGTTGAAGTCCACCCATCTGAAAGCTGGGAGTTCTGGGAGTGAAGTCCACCCATCTGAAAGCTGGGAGTTCTGGGAGTTGAAGTCCACCCATCTGAAAGCTGGGAGTTCTGGGAGTTGAAGTCACCCATCTGAAAGCTGGGAGTTCTGGGAGTGAAGTCCACCCATCTGAAAGCTGGAGTTCTGGAGTTGAAGTCCACCCATCTGAAAGCTGGGAGTTCGGAATTGAAGTCCACCCATCTGAAAGCTGGGTTTCTGGGAGTTGAAGTCCACCCATCTGAAAGCTGGGAGTTCTGGGAGTTGAGTCCACCCATCTGAAAGCTGGGAGTTCTGGGAGTTGAAGTCCACCCATTTTAAAGATGGTGGGATTGAGAATAAGCAAACACCCATTTAGAGTAGACCATCAGGCGAGGAAGAGTTCCCAGCATCCCTCACCATTGGCCATACTGCCTAGGGCTGCCGAGAGCTCTCCTGCCCCCTTACCCCTGCAGATTTCCCACCTGGCCTGCCAAGGCGCTTCTACAAAGCCAGACTGGGAAGCTTTGCACATGCTCAGAGGCATGCTCCGCTTTAAGCCCCCCCCTCTCTCTCCACCCCCCACCATCCTTCCCTAGAAAAGGCCCCAATTTTCCAAAGGTGCTTTTTCAGGAGGCAACTGGACTTCCTTGTTTTTCCTTTTGAAGACGTTTCGCTTCTCATCCAAGAAGCTTCTTCAGCTCTGACTGGATGGTGGGGAATGGAAGGATTTATAGTCCTTGCAGACAGCTGGTCGTTTGCATCCTTTTAGAGCAGTGTTTCTCAACCTTGGTAGCTTGAAGATGGGTGGACTTCAATTCCCAGAATCCCCCAGCCAGCGTTGCTGGCTGGGGGATTCTGGGAGTTGAAGTCCACCCATCTTCAAGCTACCAAGGTTGAGAAACACTGTTTTAGAGGGTCCTTGAAGCACTTGGAGGTTGATCTGTGTCCTCAGGGTCACCTGAGTGGTGCTCCTGCATCCTGTAGACTTGCCATTATTTTTCCTCTGGCAATCCATTCCTACTCTTAAGGTGTTTTTTTTTTCTTCTTTTGGGGGTGGGGGGGCAACCATGACCTGGATGGCTGAGAATCTCTAGGGGCCAAACTAAAGAGCCTTGGTAGTACAGGGGTTTAAGGCACCCTGTTATTAAGCTGCTTATTAAGACCAGCTGCCTGCAATTACTGCAGGGTTCGAATCTCGCCAAGGCTCAAGGTTGACTCAGCCTTCCATCCTTTCTAAGGTGGGTAAATTGAGGACCCAGTTTGTGGGGGCAATAAGCTGACTTTGTATAAATATACAAAAAGGATGAAGGCTATTGCTGAGCACATTGTAAGCCGCCCTGAGTCTCCGGAGAAGGGCGGCATATAAATCAAATTAAAAAAAAAAACAAACTTCCATGCCATCCTTTCCCAGGTGGGTCAACCGAGGACCCAAGATCGTTTGGGGAGGGGAGAGGGGAGGGGAGGGGAGGACAACAGGCCGACTCTGCCAACCGGCTTAGAGAGGGCCGTTCAAGCGGTCTACAAGTCTACACGCCATTGCTTATGGGGAAGGCCAGCCCAACAGCTGGTTTGCTGGGATTCCAAGGGGAGCCGCTCTCGGAAGTCCCGCCGGAGTGACTCCGGATTGCAGCGGCGGCGGCGGCTCATCAGGATTCTGTGCGCGGCGGCGAAGCACCGCAGCGCATGCCAATGCGCTCCTTCTCCCCTCCGGCCGCCGCCGCCGGATGCAAAAGAGCAAGGCTGCCGCCGGCCAACGCCTCTTGCAAGCCGGCCTCTCCCCCTCCCTCCTTCCCCGGGTAGGGACCCTCCCTCGGCTGCTTGCGCCCCTCTCCCTCCCCCTTCCCGGCCTCTCCCCCGGGGACGCAGCTGGCCGGGGATGGTGGTGTCGGGGCGTCGGAAAGCGAGGACTGCTCGGGCTGCTGCTGCGGTTTTGGCAGCCCGTCTTCGCAGCAGCCTCCGTCTTCCTCCCCCGCCCGGCTCGATGATGATGATGAGGATGATGATGATGGGGGAGTAAGGACCAAAGCAGGGGAGGGGCCACCGGAGCGAGATCGCCTCGCCTCCCGTCCGTCCGTCCGTCCGTCCTTCCTTCCTTCCTTCCTTCCTTCCTTCCTTCCTTCCTTCCTTCCTTCCCGCCACCGGCTCCCGGGCGAGCCCGACGACGTGGAGCAGCCGCGGATTAAAACAGCTTCGCCATCGACTAGGACCCGGGAAGACTCCGCCGGCGGGAGCGGAGGAAAAGAGAGAAGGAAGGAAAGAAGGAAGGAGGGAAAGAGAGGGGGGAGGAGGAGGGGAGGGGGCGCTGCGTCGCTCCCCACCCAATTTGCAGAAGATCAACATTTGCTCTCGCCAGCAGGAGGAAAGAGAGAGAGAAAGAGAGAGAGAAAAAGGGGGGGGGGGGGGAAAAAAAAAAAAGGGGCCCCCCTCGCATTGAGGGCGGGGGGGGGGGCGGGGGGGGGGGGGGGCGGCGGCCGGGTTCCCCCCCCCTCCCAGGCAAAGGGAGCGATGCAGCATCCTGGAACGTCGGACATGGGGAGTTTCCTTTTTTTTACGGACAGTTCTGCCCCCCTCCCCTGGACCGGAGGGGGCTCGTGGCGCTTTGACTCCGGAGACATCTGATTAGCGCCCCCCCTCCCTCCTCCTCCTCCTCCTCCTCCTCCTCTTTCCCGACCGCTGCCTCCCCCCCCCCAAGAACTCGCTGCGCCCCACAGACTTTGGCCCTTAAGCGGCCGGGAAGCGGGGCTGGAAGGAAGGAAGGAAGGAAGGAAGGAAGGAAGGAAAGAAAGAAAGAAAGCCGCCGGCAACCGCTCCGAGCCTCCCTCCCATCTCCCTCCCCCTCTCCCCCCGCCCCCCCCCCCCCCCCCCTCCAGCCAACATCCTTCACCCCCTTTCCCAAGCCTTGCGGCGTCGGGGACTTTCCAGATGGAGGAAAGAGCCGGGATTTCTTCTTCTTCTTCTTCTCCTTCGTGGATTCTCCATTGAAGAGAGGAAATTGCACGGATGCGGCCGCGCGTGGGTCTCGTGTGTGTGTCTGTCTGTGTGTGTGTCTGTGTGCGCGCGCGCGCGCGCCCCGGAGTGAGTGAGTGAGTGAGTGTGCTGGCTGGAGCCCCCCCCCCGCTACCGCTTTCTTTTCCAGAGAAAGCACAACCCCCCCTCCTCCCCCCCCAAAAAAGACACCCCCCCAAGAAGGCGGAGGCAAGACGGACCGGTTGGCTTCACCCTCCCCCCCCTCCAGATCGACCTGCGAAGGAAAAGGGGGCTTCTCTCCCCCCCCATTCAAGAAAAGGAGTTGCCAGGAGAAGGAGGCTGGGGGGGGGAGGCGCAGTTCACGGATTCCGTAAGTCTGAAATACTTTGCTTTAACTTGGGGGGGGGTTGGGAGGGGATGATGGGGGGGGATGAAGGATGTGGAAGCGTCTGGGTGGTGGTGGTGGTGGTGGGGGATGAGGGTTATTGAATCCCGTGGATGATGTGAAAAGCCTGTACAGGTGCACTTTAAATTAAGGGAGGTTTTTGCTTGTAGGGTTGGTGGGGGTGGGTGGGAGGGAGAGTTGGGGGGATGGAAAGGAAGTGAGGGTTGACTTCCTCCTTGTGGATTGTGGGGGGACACACACACACACAGATTTAGGAAGCGATTCTGGATGACGGGGAAAATCCCTGGCCCGCTGGGAGGGGGGTGGGTGGGTGGCAGTGAGTGAAAAATGATTTCTTGCAGGGAGAAAAATGCAGGGTGGAAGGATAGCCTGGTAGGTGCCTTTAGGCCTGGTCACCGTCTTGCCTGGCCACCCGTGCCTCGGTTTCCCCCATCCCCTCCTGATCTTGCCAGCCCGGCTGCCCACAGGGATGCAGCTGCGAAGGAGCATCCTTGAGAGCGACAAGGCTCACCATCGCTTTGAAAACGACCGACTTCGTGGCATCTTCCACCCTAAGACTCCTTAGGTCTCTTCCCTTGCATCACCTGGCCTTCCAGCTCCGCCATCAAGGCCAAGGAGCCATTCTCTTCTTCCCCCCACCTCCGGTTGGCCTGAGCTCTAGCCAGCCTCTTCTGGTGTCTCCAAGCCTTTTTGGGGGGCCTTTGTACCACCACCAGCCTGAACTGGGCCTCCATCCTCTGACTGGCCTACCTTGGTCGTCGGAAAGGTTGCAGGCTCTGAGATGCTGGACTGAGATGGGGGGTATAAATCGGATTTCCTGTGGAGGTTCAGAAGGGATGCTTGAAACGGGGCTGTTGGATTTAGGCTTTTAGGCCTCAAGTTTAATGCAGAATAGACAGACCCCTTACTGGAGCAGTCTTCATTCAAATATCTCCTCCTCCCCCCTCAAAAATCTACCGGCCCTTTGCTCTTTTGCAATTCTTAGATCCTTATTTTCTTTATTGTGGTTTTTTTTCCCCAACCTCTCCCACAGCCCTGCTTACTCTTCAGCAAATCGACATAAGTTACTAGCTGCATTTGGGGAGGGTGGGTGGGTGGGTAGGAGGGTGTTGCTTTTACGGCTTCACTTGGCTGGTCCTTAATATATCTGGAAAGCTTTAGTAGGGAAAGAAAGAGCGAATTCATCTTCCAAAACTTTTGTTCCAAAGCACCAGAACTTTTTCCCCCCTTCTCCTGGCATAGGAGAATAACTCCCCACACTTGATTGTTTTTCTGTGTAATTCCCGCTTCCCTTATCCATTTTTTGTATCTCTTGGGCATCTCTTCTGGGGATGAGTCTCCTTCATCCCATTAAAGCTTTCAGCAAGTTGTTTGATGTTGGTGTATTGCAAGAGTCCAATCACTGTGTTTCTAAACCACAATATATGATTGTGTATTGTTTGGAATCCACTCGGTTCTGGTTTATTTGGCAAATCATGATTAAACAGACTTGAGAAGAAAGTCTCTGTATTAACAAATCCACCAGAATGTCGTTCAGGGCCCGAAGCAACTTTTTTGCTTAGGAAAGTTGTTATTTATTTGTCACTTATTTAAGATATGATAAAAGATGTGTGCAATTATGCATGAAGAAACTGGATACAGAAAAGATGTTCTCCATTTCTTAGAATATTAGAAAATGGGCTAATTCAATCAATCTAAATGAGAAGGTTGTGAGTTAATTAATTAAAGGGAAGGATTTGATCACGCATTGCCTAGATAAGCCAAGGAATTTACTTCCGTGAACCTATTGACTATGAACCAGGATTAACCACATATATTAGGATACCATCACACAAATGAATAGACTAGACTAGACTAGACTAGACTAGACTAGACTAGACTAGACTAGACTAGACTAGACTAGACTAGACTAGACTAGACTAGACTAGAATAGAATAGACTAGAATAGAATAGAATAGAATAGAATAGAATAGAATTCTTTATTGGCCAAATGTGATTGGACACACAAGGAATTTGTCTTTGGTACTTACGCTCTAAGTGTACATACAAAGACAAGATACACTCGTCAAGAATCACAAGGCACAACCCCTAGAGATGATGGAAATTACAGGATTCATGCCATGGGATCAGTGAAGTTGTGATGTCCAGAATGTCCCTTGCCCCTTCCCACGAATGCCCATGTGTACAAGATGGAGAGATGGCCACCAACTTAGCTTGCTTAATAAAAATAAAGAGAGGCAATCCTTGGATCCTTCTAGAATGATAAACTATGCTTAGTTTTGCGTTCCTCTGTGAATGGAGGCCTGAAAAATACCTTTTTTGGAAGGTTCATACTAGCTAAATATTGGAGATCTTCAGGGTGTGACATTCTGCTTATAGACGTTTCAAAAATCATAATGTTGATATGTTTTTAAATTAAAAAAAAAACAGGATTTTTGGGACCCTTCAGGCAAATTTGATAGGATCCTTTCTTAGGTCCTTAAAACCTTTCTAACAATGTTCCCATAGGTGAAAATTCTGTTATTTGTGACAGTCTTCAGAGCCACACTATATAAGGCAGCGTTTCTTCTGTTGGGCAACTTCAAGTTGCGTGGACTTCAACTCCCAGAGTTCCTTAGTCCACTCTGCCATTGCTTTACTAACAGTAATACAGTAATAGCATTTCTAGATCCGTAGGGCTTTGGATATGTTTCCTGTTCTCAGCTCTTTTGCCCTACTCCAGGCGTGCCCAACCTGGGTAACTTTTAAGACTTGTGGACTTCAACTCCCAGAATCCCCCAGCCAGCATGGCTGACTGGAGAATTCTGGGAGTTGAAGTCCACAGGTCTTAACATTTTCAAGGTTGGGCACTCTTACCTTAGTCTTTGCTTCCTTCTTTTTCCTCTTAAGCCTGAAACTCTTTCTTCTCCTTTCCCTTTGCTTCCCGCGTTTCCGATTGAACAAAAAAAACTTGGAACTGTTGCTTTGAAATTCTTCTTCCTGCCCCAGAAAGGACGGACAGACAGACAGACGCATGCCCGCAAATACACACACTCTTCCACTCCCTTTCCAAACACTCAGAGTGCAACTTGTTGCTCTCTTCAATCTCTCACTGAAGAATAATGACAGCTGCATCTCCCTCTCGGAAATGTTGCCTGCAGAAATCCTGCTGGGATTTTTTGAACAGATTATCTGCCTGTTGAACTCAGCAGGATCTCTACCCTAACTGATTTAGGAAATGAAGATCAAGCCTCTTGGGGACAAACCTCAAACCCTCACCCAGCTACCAGATCTCTTTTCAACCTGGCCGCTTCCCCGTCAGCTAACCTCCACCTGAACCATTCTCTCGATCTGATTCTGCCTTGTCAAAAGAGAATCTCCGGTCTTTTAGAACCCTGCAAATCTGCCTGAAGGGATCTTATCTATTCTCTGGGCTGTGGTTTTGTATTAAAAAATTAAATTTCTGGAAGAGGGAATCTTAGCTGCTTGCTGCAGCTTGCTGCTTTTCCATCTCCTGTTTTCTCTTAGCTAGGACAATGGGACTCAATGTCCTTTCTGAAGCATAGCTAAAAGCATGGCAGCAGGAACCATGTCCTGTCCTACATTTGGTTATCCTGCAGCTCATCATCCAAATCTACACCTCCGTTGAGTGGTGAATGTTTGCCGCGCCACTCGATAAGCTATCTTTCCATGCCTTCCCTGGACCTGTTCTTGCAGTAGGCTAGCATGCTAGTTTATTTTCCCATTACCTCCTCCAGATACCATTCTGTTCTTATCATCCTAATTCCATCTCTCTCTGGCTCTTAGTCGGATCCGGCGGGTAACTTCCTTGCTGTGAACCAGCCCTTCATCCTCGTTGCCCATCTCCTTCTCCTCTGATCCTCCATGGGGGGCGGGGGGGGGGGAGGGAAAGATGCTACACCGTCCATTGCAATGTCTGTTACATTTGCTCCACAATAGGCGATTTCCGACCGACTCTGGGAGATGATGGCTGGGGCCTTTCTCCGGGGAGAAGCCGTTTTCTGCATGCCTTGTTTTCTTTGTGGAACAACATTTCCCTTTCGCTTATGAGGGCTGGGTTTTTTTTTAAGCTGGTGTAAAACAGCCAATTAAGGGCCGTGACTGGACCAACAAAAATGATGGGTAATTTAAAGGTTCCATAGTGGGTGGAAACGAAGAGCCACATTTCCTTCAGCTGCCATCGGGCTTTTCCCGGCATTTAGTATTTCTCACACCATCGCACACCATCCCCTCTTCCTGGTTTAATTGGAAGGTTGCCTTGTTACAGTGTGTGGCTGGCCAGCTCCCTTCTCATCAGGAATTCTATCTATCTATCTATCTATCTATCTATCTATCTATCTATCTATCTATCTATCTATCTATCTATCTATCTATCTATCTCTATCTCTATCTATCTATCTATCTATCTATCTATCTATCTCTATCTATCTATCTATCTATCATTTATCTATCTATCTCTATCTATCTATCATCTATCTATCATCTCTCTCTCTCTCTATTATCTATCATCTATCCTCTCTCTCTCATCTATCTCTATCTATCTATCTCTATTTATCATCTATCTATCTATACCTATCTATCTATCTATCTATCTATCTATCTATCTATCTATCTATCTATCATCTCTCTCTCTCTCTATCATCTATCTATCTCTATCTATCATCTATCTATACCTACCTACCTACCTATCTATTATCTATCATCTATCTCTAGCTATCTATCATCTATCTATCATCTCTTTCTCTCTATTATCTATCATCTACCATCTCTCTTTCTCTCTCTCTCTGTCTTTATCTATCTATCTTTATCTATCTCTATCTATCATCTATCTATCATCTATATCTATCTATCATCTCTCTCTCTCTCTCTAACTATCTGGCTATCTATCATTTTTACAAATAACTCAAGGTGGCAAACATATCCACCACACCTTCCTCCTCCTGTTTTTCCACAACAACAACAAC